AAAAAAAAAAAAACACCACTATTGAAAAACAAAGTTTAGAGACACTGTAACAGTAACATTACCTTTTAAAATTGTCTAAAGTGATCCAAACTTGAAATTCCTATCAAGAATTCGTCTATGTAAACAAACTACTTATACTACTGCCCATAAAACAGAATCGAATAATTATTCATCTTGAACCCCAAAGGAACTGAAGTTACAATATCAAAAGTATAAACAGTGAATTGTCATGATAATCCTACCCGAAGAAATTTTCATTCTAGTTTAAGAGAAGCATATGCAGGGAACAGTCAGATGATAGTATTACACACATTGATTCAGTGAGGTTTCAGATTATACTGAATCACTCAAAACTGGATAGTATAATACACTGTACTAATTGATAAGATTCTAGAAAAGCATTGAAGATAGTAAAAATTAGTGCAGATTGGCCAAAAATGTGATAGGACTTAACCAAAACCATCAGGATATGTTACAGGGAAAGATATTCCACTATAGGGGTACCAACCACAAAGAGCAGAATTCTGTCCAACAGTGGGCATAAAGGGCAGAGAACAAAAATAAGAGGGGTGTCTATAGCTTAAGCACTCTTCACTATGTCTACAATTTGAGTGGAAAAAAAAAAAAAAAGAAGGGAAATGGTGAAAGAAGCGATTTAACCAGATCATGCAGACCTTTGTATACTATTTCAAAACAACTGAAAGTTTTTGGAGAACCACTGAAGTTTCTTGTATAGCCAACTGCTGTTTTAGAAAGACTTGTTTGTAGAGAATGTAATGGGAAAGGATGGATAGAAAGCAAACAGGAAGCAGAGATCTGTTAGAAGGTAGTGGTGGCAACAATCCAGATATGATTATGATGGTCTGGTTTAGGGCGTTGGCAGTTTTTGAAAAGAGTTTAATCTGGGAAATGATCAGATGTGGTGGGTATCATCCATTATGGATGATGGCCAAGGTTCTGGATTCTGGGAGAAACTACTCCATGGAGGAAACTCCTCGTGTGCACCTACATATCTTGGATATGCCAAGATTAGAAGGGCAAGACCACACATTACTCAGACCATTTCTCAGGATTGTATTAGCAGCCACCAAACTTCAGGAATGAGGTAATGCCTCCCTCTGGAACAAAGAAAGTATGCTTACTGTTGATGATACAACAGAGGATTCATCCAACTTTGTGTTCCTTAGATGCAACATAAACTCACTGCATACATAAAGCATTCATCTTGGTCCCTCTGCATCACTCCATGGGACAAGGAAGCAAGGGAAAATGATGCATGTATGCTGATGCTCATGCTGCTTCCTGTGCAGCGCCTAAGTCCTTTGTCTCTGGTCCAGATGCCCCATGTCTCTTGCCAATTTCCATAAAACAGTATGAGACGAGATAATTACCACCTTATAAGTAGGATAAAAATCAAATTTCAGCCCCTAAAATGGCAAGAGGCCACTACATGGATAAAGTTACCACTCAATGAGATACAGGCTCCACAAAGAAAGCAGGGTCTCATATTTTGTTATTTTATCAGCCAGAAAGGGGAGAGTATGAGGAATAATGATGGCAATATTCTGATGGCAAGATATACTGTAGACATTTATGACAGTCTAATTGAAGTTTAATTTACTTTAATTAGCTTTAGAGTATAAAGAGGAACCATTTGTGGCCATGAGTTCAATGAAGACTTTCATTACTTGAACTTCATTTTAAAAGTTCTGAATTAAAATATTCCTATGAAAATAAATTCAGATGAAATGGATGGTGACATAGTGAGATTTAATTTAAAACTTATCTGAAATGTTTCATTAAGAATGGAAGTAGAAACATGTTACTAAAAAAGGAGGGGGGGCAATGAGATGCCTTAGGAAGTACAAAAAAATTACAAAGAATACGTATGGAGAGAAACTCTTCTTTTAAGATTAGAAAAAAAAGATCAAGGGGATCGATAAAAGGCCAATGACATGATGATCAAGATTGGAGAGGACTCCAGTGAAGGCACAAAACATACTATAGAATTCTCCCAAAGGCTTGTATTTCTGGCCCTGCTCTACTCAAGAACTACTGATATCTAAACAATTTTACACCTCTCTCTGGCCAGCCATGCATTTATACCTAGTAACTGTTGTCCTCATACCACTGATCAAAGTCAGATCATTTACATCTCTTGTGAAAACGTGTTCCTTCTTGTAGTTAATATTTTATGCTTAAAAAGTCTCTTTACTTGCCCTTTCCTCACTTTGCCATTTCCTGTGCAAGCTATTTTCCTGTTCAAATGCTACCAATCCTTTCAAATGCTCCCTGGCCAAATGCTGCTTTCTCTATAAAGCCATTACTAGCAATTCCAAATTGAAAAAAGCTTTCTCCCTTCTGAAGAAACTGTAGTTAATTTATCATCATACTTGTGGCCTCATTTATAAAATCATCTTTAAAAATATACTGCTATGGAACACAGAACAGAGAGAAAAAGTGCCTGTATATTTTGAGGTTAGAAGGAAAGAACCTAAGAAAAGCAAAAGCACCTCAGTGAACTAAGCAGACTGCCAAAAATGTACGCTCTGCCTAAGAGTCCTTCCTGACACTGTACCCATCTAAAAATCTCTTCTGCAAACATGTTCTGCTTACATTTTCACTTTCTAATTAAGCAAATAAAGATTTTATTTTTTTAAGTTGCAGAAGAGTATATAGCAGAACCCCACTTATATCTCTGAACACCTAACAGGATATAGACCAGTTTTAGAAGTATTTTCAGAGAATGAGACTGTGAAAGTGTTAACTGTTATTCTTCACTTCACCTGTGGATACTTTAACTTTTTATAGTGAAAACAAACTATTATTATTTTAAGTATACATATTTTGAAAACATGAAGTTATTAAAAATACTGAGCCACAGTTTTCCCATAATTCCTAGAAATATTTAAGGGACAATTAAATTCTATCATTAAATTTACAGTACATACACAGATTTTAGGCTTGACTTTTAAAAGTCCTTAAAAACTATTTATGGGAGAATTATATATTAAATGAAAACTTTTAAAGTCTAATACCACTTATTTCTGCATTTCAGAAAATGGAGTTTTTGGCATTAGACTAGGAAATGGTCACTATGGCCTGTGAGCTTACTGCTGGCTACTCTTCTTTTCCAAAGATACACAGATGGCCTACATACATGAAAAGGTGTTCAACATCACTAATTATGAGATAAATAAAAATCAAAACTACAGTGAGACATCCACCCCACACCTGTCAGACAAGGATCCCTCATGTGCTGTTGGTGGGACTGTAAATGAATGTAGCCACTACAGAAAACATATGGACGTTCCTCAAGAAACTAAAAATAAAAATACCACATGATCCAACAATTCCACTTATAGGTATCTAAAAACTACTACTACTCAGGAAGATATTTGCACCCCCATGTTCATGGCAGCATTATCTACAACAGAGAAGACATGGAAACAATCTAAGTGTCCATCGATGGATGAATAGATAAAAAAGTTGTGTGTATACATACACAAAGACACACAAACACACAGATGCACATGGAATACTATTCAGCCAAAAAAGGGGGGAAATCTTGCCATTTGCAACCTTGGATGGACCTTGAAGGTGCTTATACTAGGTGACACAAGCCAGACAGAAAAAGACAAAGAACTTACGATCTCACTTACATGTAGAATCTAAAAAAAATTAGAAAAAAACTAAACTGAACTCATAGATTTAGACAAAGGATTGGTGGTTGCCATAGGTGGGAAACTGGATGGGCAAAATGGGTAAAGGTGGTTAAAAAGGTGTAAACTTCCAATTATAAAATAAGTCTTTGGGATGTAACATATAGCATGGTGACTATAGTTAATAATACCATACTGTATATTTGAAAGTTGCTAAGAGAATAGATCTTAGAAGTTCTCATCACACACACACAAAATTTGTAATATGTGTGATGACAAATGTTAACTAGACTTATTGTAGTGATTATTTCACAGTATGTACACATACTGAATCATCATGTTGTAAACCTGAAACTAATGTAATATATATTAATTGTATCTCAATAAAAAGCTTTTTTCTATGAATTAAAGACTATGGTTAGTTGTGCAAAAAAACTCTTTCCAATAGGTAGACAATGAGTACTTTTTCAAGTTAAATAATGTTCTCATGTTAACTAAGGTATTCAATTAAAAAAAAAGAATGACAGTGGAGAGCATTAAATTAATCTTACCTGTAATCTAAACCAATCTAATCTCATTCCTCTGAAATCAAATACTTCCCCATCTTCAACTACAAAGAAAAAAAGAAAAGAAAATTAATGTTTTCACAAATCTATAATTGCATTTTAAAATTTAAGAGCTAAAACACTTTCACTTCTGGCCATATATGCACAATAATTAAAAGTAGGGTCTTGAAGAGGCATTTGTTACAACCATGTTCACAGCAATATTATTCACAAAATGTGGAAGTAACCCAAATGCCCATCAACAGATGAATGGATAAAAATGTGATTCCTCCCTTAAAAAGGGAGGAAATTCTGACATACACTACAACATAGCTGAGAACATTAGCTAGTGAAATTAGTGACTACATGATTCCATTTATGTGAGGTATCTAGAATAGTTGAAATCATAGAAATACAAAGTAGAATTGTGGATGCCAGTAGCTGGGAAGAAAGAAAATTGGGAGTTGTTATTTACTAGCTGTAGAGTTTCAGTTTTGCAAGATGAAAAAGTTCTGGAGATTGGTTGCACAACCATATGAGTACACTTAACACTAGTGAACTATACACTTAAAAATAGTAAGAGTTATTTTGTTTTATGTGTATTTTAGTACAAGTTAAAAAGAATTAAAAGCTAAGAGAGCAAAATAACTCTCAAGTCCTATAAAGATGATGATAAAGGAGCCAGTTAGAAGTGCAAAGTACAGACTGCTCCAAAATGCTATGATTCTCAGTGTGCTTATATGTCATTTGAAGGAGCTTAACAGAGCTTAAAGAATCTTACAAATAGCAACTTTGGATAGCACGCTGAAGCCCCTCAAAATAACTATATATACACCAAATATCACCAGGCAAGTTTACAATACTTTCATTACTTAAGTATGATAACTATAACAACTGGTTAAACTAAAATAAATGTATTTATTACTCAGAAATTTTCAAGATTTCTGATACCTTCTACTTAAAGATTACAAAAGCAAAACATCATATCAATCTATTGAAATGGAGTAGTCAAATAATGGAGAGGCAGGTCTATTATACAACATCAGCTATTGAGATTGACAGACCTGAACTTAAAATTTCGATTATAATCTTTAATACTTGTTAGAGCATGGGCAAATCATGTTAAATAACTGACAGATTAACTCTCAAACCTTGAGTTTCTGAATCTGTCAAATAAAAGTAGTAACAGCTTTTTAAAACTGATGTGGATTAACCAGAATAATATATATAAATGCCTGGCAGAGATTAAACATTTTATCAGTGGTATCCATTTTTTTTTTAATTACAAAATGCCTTTTTTCCCTCCTGAATAGTAAGAAATTTCAAGCTATAATTCTTATGATTTTTATAAATGTCATCACATAACTGTTTTGCAAAGTTTTTCTTCAGGGAGAACAAAATTAATTTAATAAAATAAAACAGATTAAATACGTCCAAAAATAAGACAGATGATTATGTAAAAATTACTTGTTAAATCCTCTCTTTAATGATCAAATCTGAAACTTAATCAGAAGAAAATATGCTTTTTCTTAAGACTTATTACCTTGTTTTACACTTAGGGAAGTCATAGTATTAACAAAAGAGGACATGATAATTGATTCATCTTCAGGGCAAACAGAAAGATTCTGGAAAAGGAAGAAAAATAATGTCATGTTAAGAACATCTAATTGGGAAACAATTCCTATGTGTATCAACTGGTGGATGGATAAAACTGGTCTATCCATACTATGGAATATTTTTTATTTAGCAATAAACAGAAATGAAACGTTGCTACACATAATGACATGGATGAATCTCAAAAATACTATGCTAATTCAAAGAAATAAAAAACAAGTCAATATGATTCCATTTTATATGAATTTTTACTTCTTTTTAAAGGCAAAAGGTGACATAAAGCAACAAGTATTTGTTAGAGGTCTTTAGAGGGAATCAACTACAAAGTTGCACATGAAAACTTAACATCTTGACTGTAGTGGTGGACACATGAATGTGTATAGTTGCCAAAATTTAAACCTACACTAAAAATGAGGTGATTTTTGTAAACTATATCTCAACAAAATTAGGACTGAAAAAAAAATCTCTCTCAAACTGGCTAAAAAATGAATACTTGATAAGCTACTTCAGAAGTCGATGTCAAATAATAAATTTTTTTAAGTGGATGCTTAGCTCACTAACAGCATAAACTTTCAAAACATTAAGACCTATACAACAACATGAATATACATCATGTCACTATACTCTGCATACTTAAAATGGTTAAGTATGATAAATTTTATGTTATGTATTTTGCCACAATAGAAGAATTTAACAAGTATTACAATGGACTACAATTGGCAGGTTAATCTTATTATTCCTAAATTTAAATCCTAGAAAATGGTTAAAAACACCATGTCTAAACTTCACAACAGAAGGGGGTGGTAAAAAATTCAGGTGTTGGAGTTAAACCCGGGTTCAAATACTGGCTCTATTATTTATGAACTGTATGATACTGACCAAGTTTCATAGTCTTTTCTCTTGAACAGCTAAATGTATAACTACACCTACCCTCACAGAATTGTACAGATATAATAAAATATACTATCAATAAGTCTTATAATTATTAATACTAGTATTATTGTTGCTACTACTATTACTATAATCCAGAAAAAATAATAAATTTTCTCAGTATTGTTAAAATAGTTTATTTATAAAAAAGACACAGTGACTTAAAAATGTTAAAGCTATAAAATAAACCTGTAATTTATTAACAAATATCCAACCAGCCACAAGTTTCAAAGTGACATGAAACTAGGAGTCAGGTTTACTTTTTAGATTGTGATATAGAGTACACACAATGCAGGGATAAAGAATCATTCCCTGCATTGTATCCACTCTGAGCTTTGTACACACTTACAGCATAATGCCTTTCACACTGGACTACAACTAAATGTTATCTCCCCCTAGGTGATAACTGGTTTATCTGAGAAGTAATAACTAGTCAAATAAAATTGCAGCCAAGCAATACCTTCTAGGGATAAAAACAGATTTTCTTCTATTCGCTATTTAAATTGACACACTAAAAGGAAGCATATGAGCCCCACCTAGTGGATGAAAGAAGAAATGCACTAGGACAGTAGTGAATGAAAGAGGAAATACACTAGGACAGTTATATAAATCAAGGTCAGCTATTACATAAACAATTTTTCTTTTTTGCATTTTTAGGTCGGTTTGAAAAAAATTAGCATTTCATAGTATTACTATTCCTCTGGAAAAGCAGTGGTTTTAGAATAGTCTTAATGCAAGACAATTCATCCTGTTCTTCCTTTATACTATGTTAATGGTAGTTTTTAGGTATCTGTGATTCTGTAAAATGAGGCAAAATAAGAAATACTACCTTCCTTACAGTCAATTTATTTGGAACAAAAATAAATTTGTATCAGAATAAAAAAGACTTAATAAAGAAATTAAAGCAAATAACAAAACAAAAGCCCTAAGACTAAAAATCGAGAAAAACCCAGATTGAATAAAAATTGGGACACTTAATTAAATTAGACTATCTAGATTTTTTTCTTTTTTTAATGGCCATAATCTAGTACACTATGCAAAAAGATTTATCTTCTACCTTTCCTCTACTATTTTGTTAATTATAATGTCTCCATCATCTTTTTATTTCCATAGCCGTTGTCCAAGTTTAGGCTCTCATAAACTCTTACCTAACCTACTGCAGTTATTTTTTCTTCTAATCTCTCTGACTCCTCTCTTGGCCCCAGTAATCCATCATCCACACTGAACTAGGGTGATCTTTCTAAGTAATGTGTCTGATTTATGATTAATTTCCTCTTCTGCAAGGCCCACTAGAATGTGGTTACTGTACACCTCCACCCCCAGGATGAAGAATCACTCCCTGCACTGTGATCACTCTGAGCTTTGTACACACTTAAGCATAATGCCTTTCACAGTGGCCTACAACTAAATGTTATCTCCCCCTAGATGACTCTGACTCTGACAAGATATGGCCGTGACTTATTTACATTTGTATATCTACCAACTTGGCACAAGATTTTATTTTGTAACTGTTTGTTCAGGAAACAAATCAGTTACTGGAAAGGAGGAAAGGAAGGAAAAAGAGAGAATAATATGAGTTTTTACCTGTACAAGTTCATTGAGGACAACAGCATCAAAACCAGAAAGGTACTGTACATAATACCTCTGCATTACAGGTCCATATTTTCTTACATGTGCTCTGAGCTCTTCCATGTAAAATATTAATTCAGCAATGTGCCTTTTTAAAAAACCCAAGAAAAATATTTCAAAACCTAAATTGTTATTAAGGAAAATACAAAATGCCTTTAATACTGTAGGAAGTTTTTTTCTTAGAAAAAAATTGTGAAATGCTTACTGTCAATTACTAAAGCATTTCATATGACTGAAGAAATTGTGAAAAGCAAAAAAAAAGCTAAAACTAAAAATTTGACAGAGGAAAATCCAAAATAAAAATAACGTTAGGACATTTCATAAATACAACACTAAAAAATCAAAAATGAAAGAGGATAGAGGATTAGGAATAAGATTTTTCTGTATGCTCTCATTTCTCTGCTTCATTTATGTAATTCCTATGGAGAGACTGTGGACTAAAATGAAAAACATTTCAAATGACACACTTGGTTGCAACACTACTCAGTATGAGTTCCTGTTTAAATTTTTGTGTAGTAAATCATTTAAAAAATGAGTTCCATAGGAAACAGTACTGTATATAGCAAGAAAACAAACAGGAACTTTATGGCAACTTAGAGCTCTAGAGAGAAGAGATGTTAAGAGCCCTAATTGTAAGCTAATGTTGCCTTGCATTTTAACTCATATCATTTAATGATATATTACAAATAGTCCTCTATTACGACAAATATTAAAAGCCCTAAAAAAAGACTTTTCAAAATAATTTTACTTCAAAGTCCCCAAATTCCATAGCCCATAAAATCAAAATATTCAAAAAAAATTTTTTAATGTTCATAACTTACTTATCTATAAAGTCATCTGCACTCTTCTTTGGCATGTTATCTGCATGACGAAGTAGCCAGATAATTTCATCACGGGCAAAGGATAATGCCATAAAAACAAAAAGTGCCTAATTAAAAAAAAAATAACATTGCTCACTCTTATGCAAAGATTAAAAATATAACCCATTCATAATCTTTCTCTAAGTGAAAAGTCCTTGGCAAGAACTCATTAATAATCAAGTTCAAAACAGAAATGAAAGGAAAGAGGAGAACTTGGAAATATGTATCAGGGAGAGCATGCATATAAGCAAGATGAGAGGAAAACACAGGAAGGTGTGACATATGAGGGTCAACTCTGAAAATTCATTCTCAGTTAAGTATAAAATCCTTTTATGTAGTCCCTGACTCAAATTTTGGTAAAATTCACAAAGAATTTTTTTTTATTTTAATATGAAATACTTGCAGTTGAAATAAGAATTAAATCAATATTACCTTGGGACCCAGCAAGCCAGGTTGATCAGAAAGGACAGTAGCCAACTCTTTCAGTGCAGACCTTAAAAACTTGCGTCTTTCTCTGTGCATTGAACCACTACAGGGAAAAAAAACGCTACTATAATTTACCTGTTTCCACAATTAAGTAACATCATTTCAGGGTCAACTTTCAAAGATTTTTCAGGAGGCAGAAGCTCCTACAAATACCTTCTTTGTGTCATTAAATGGCTTTCCCATCTTTTATTTATCCTTGCCTTTACTGTGCTATTTTTATAACCATGTTTATTATTACTTTCCATCTGTCAAACTCCTACCCAAATTTCAAGACCAATTCTTTTAGAAGAATTTCCCAATACCCAGCTGTCCATTTCTGAATAATTTCTGCAATTTTAGTACCATATATCCTAGCTTTATAAACTAGACTGTGCAATTCCTGAAAGCAAGCACTGTCCTACTGTATATATTTTTGTCCCCCCCACACAGAAATCCATAAATATAACAATGAATATCTGATTATACATATCCCTGTTTATTAAGTATATTCCTATTAAATATATAAAACTGATTAAATAAGAGCTATAACTATAATAAAGATATTGGCATAAGATCTACTTGGCACTCTTATTCAAAAACTGAAAGATAAGGAAAGAATCATAAATATTCATGCAATAGGAATTTAAAAAATAAAATGTAAATTAGAAAAAATTTACTCACACACATTAACATGAAAAAAACCCAGAAAATTCTAGGTATTCCAAATCCTCATACAAAATATATACGGCTCCAAGAACATTTTAAAGTTTAGATACATACAAAAATAAAAGGCCACACACATGATGAATATGCCAAAAAAACAAGTATAAGGGGTATACAATGCCAGAAATTTAGTTATCACACAATAGATTAGTTTTAGAAGATGCACTTAAAATCCAACCTTTGTTATATGAACTTAGGTTTCCACCTAAGTTTCAGTCTCTCATCTATAAAACAGGGATGATGACACCTGCCTCAAAAGATACATCTTACATGACGTCTGATGATACAGAACTTTTAGAATGTTACTTTAATTCCAATGATGGGCTCTTTTTTATCTAACAATGAAGTCATCTAGTATAATTTCTAATAAGAAAGTGTAAGTAAAAAGACTTGAATGATACCAAAAAAGAAAGTCCTCTGTATAGTACTTCCTTAGCGCATTTGTATCAATACTTCAAAAATACCTAAAACCTATCTGTACAAACTCCAAGTCTGTTAATATACTGTTATATTATTTCTCATTGATTGAAAGTCCCCCACTTCTACCACATTTTGCACACAATTAACTCACACACATTTCAACAAAATAATATTTTAAGAAAGGAATTCTTGATTAAAAGCAGAAAAAAGAGCTACTTACGCATGTGACACAGCTGCCTCTTTGCATTCTCTTATGTCATTAATGCGCTTATTATAGCTATGTGCAAAAAAAATAGAACCATGTTAATCTTAATTTGATCAATAGTAGTCAAGATTATTCAAATACTGAAGTCAATAAAAAATGACTTATTATCAACAAGAAAAACTAGTTCTCAAACTGGAAATGCATGGAAAAAGTCTACTCACATCTTTTCCTAGCACCTTACAGATATCATCATCTTAGGTAGCCTTAGTACAGTTATTCTCCTAGAAAAGTTAACTCTCATATTAAATATAACAACAACATTAAACTTCACAATGTAGATCTTTTAAATATTTTGATATGTAAATATTTTAATATTTAATATATTAAACATTTTCACAAAGCCTGAATAGAGACATTAAAATTGTATTACCAATGTAATTAACAGGGATTTCTAAAAATCTAAAGTACTGACAAAGTTATTAGTTCTGACTTTTTATGCTACCTCATACATATAAAAATAATTCAGGCAGAAAACAGAACAGTGATCAGCACTAGCCAATGTTCGGGGATAGGATTTTTCCAGTAGAGAAAACTGGCAGGAAATTATTTGACTACTTTAAATTAAAAGAAACAGAACACACCAACATCAAACACTTAAAGGTACCACCTGAAAAATAAACGCTAATAAATGTATATTAACTTAATAAATGTTACATAAAAAAACTGAAAATTCCTAAAATGTTCAAGAAAACTATCTTCCTGACAATCTGGCTAAAACCACTTACACCATGAACTCCAACTTCTAAATTAAGTACTCTAAGATTTACATGATCTTTGAGTAAATGTCCAAAATATACTAAATCTGCAGTCATTGTATTCTATCATGAGTAAACTCTTATATTTATGGTCTGACTAGTAACTACTATAATTCACATTTTAAATTGGATTGATCACTCACAATTTAATAAAAAATTAAAACTTCTCAACTTTAGATACAAAGACTCTTAAATGGAAAATATATCATAAAAAAATCATAATAAAAAGACAACTGCTTCCATGTCATTACATTTACTCATACTGTATGTAACATAAGCTCACTCAATTACATAGGCTACCTGGTTCTAAATGTTTACATATATTTAGAAGAGGGTTATCAATATACTAAGATATCATACAAATTTCATAACTTTCTATCTGAAATAACTAGAAAATGACAAAGCCTATATGACACAGGATATTTCCAGGTACTGCACTACCTAAAATAAAAGCCAAATTAGGAGTTGAAAAGTACATAGGGCACTGTTTCTCCTATTATGACTGAAAAACCACTTTCATGATGTCAGAATCAGCTATGGTAACAGATATCAGAACAATGGTCATGAAAAAGGGGCAGGGGGGAGGGAGACCAGGGGAAGCAGGACTAAACAAAAAAAGGCACAAGAGAATTTTCTTTGGACAATATTCTGTATCTTGATCTAGGTGGTGATCTAGAGGATTGATATGCAAAGTCACTGAACTATACACCTAAAACTTATGTATTTTTGTGTCTGTAAATTTTAGCTTAATCAATTACTAGGAAGAAAAAATGCAGATTCCTTTAACTGTCTAAGATACACATATAAGAGATACAGATTAGGGATGATGCCCAGGAACCTCAACTTTAATTTGAGGTTATAATTCTTATGCACACTAAAATCTGAAACATACTGCCTTAAATTATGGTAGATGTATCTTTATAATCTTATAAATAATAGATGCCTTATTTTATTATTACATTACTTATTTATAATTTCATTACTAAATTGTATATGAAATAAATGTAGGTAAATTTCATTTCTATCTGAAGCTAACAAGCCCAACACAATTATTCAACACTTTCAGGTACAGGGGGTCACAGGGTACTTTAGATTCTCCTAATTCCAAAAGATTTCATATTGCTACCAAGTCTTACCTCAACTTCTGTTTTATATAGACCCTCATGTGGAAAGAAATGCAGGCACTAAAAATTTTAAGAATTACTGAAATTTCTAAAAATGATTTGCTTTATAGGGAATAAATGTTAATGAATCAGTTGTAACACCTTCCTATTAAAAGGTAACAAGGTTTCTTTTATGCAGCAATCTGATTCTATAATTGCTATAATTAATTTAATAAAGTATTTTTTATCAACTCATATACTGGTACATATGCACTGTATTCTAAAATACCACTTCTAAAAATTTCAAATTCTAAAATCTAAATGGTTTTCTTAGTAATATTTGTTTAAAAGCATATTATGATTTGCAAAGGCAGATACATTTTCTCTTCCTAGAATACAAGTTTTCAAAAGAGAGAAACACTAGATATTTTAATTTGTGATGTTATTTGTAAAAACATAAATACTACCATAACAGGATGACAGTTAAAAACAACTGATATGACACTTCTCTCTTCTCCAAACTTAATCCACTCACTACCCTTCTCCAAAAAAAAAGACAAAATAACTGAAAATGCCTTACCCTCTTATATTTACAAATAAGTCTTCTGCAGCTTTATGAATATGGAAAACTTCATCTCGAAAGAGTGAGAGGCAAGAGCTACTTTGAAGAGCTAGCTTCCAAAGGTTCAGTGCTGTCGCATCAGTATTTAGGATCCCATGACATAAAATAAAGCCAACTTTAAATAAAAAGAAAATAAACGTAAATATAAAAGTATTCCAAAGTTAAGTTCTTTCAGTTAAAGGGTAGCTTTACAAAAATACAGAAATGTAAACATAGACACTAAACAGAGGCTCTTAAGTGACAGGTAGCAGTTCATATACATATAAAGTGGCAACAATATTTCTTTCAGTAATATTCTGTATTCTGCAAAATCAGTTCATGAATCTATACCGATGAAAATATGTCACTGATGGATTGTAAAAGAAGTCATTTTAAAGAGTAAAAGACATTTTCAAAAATATTTACAAAATGTTTTAAGAGATGGCAATCTCTTAAATCTAGTATTTCAGAGATGGTAAATTAGCAATTAACATATTTTTAATCATGACAATTGTTAAAATAAAGCTAATCTACTTTTCTAAATCACCAGATGAAACATCTTACATTTTCATAGCAATAGTTTATTAAGTCAGTCTTTTTACATATATTAATTCACATGATCTTGTGAAGTAGAATGAACAGGTGGTATCCTTAGAGCTAAAGAAGGTTTAATGACTTGCCTAAATTTATACTATTAAAGTATTAGAGCTAGACTTAGCCTCAAGTATTTACCTTTAAAGTCTAATATTCTCTCACTATATTCTTCTGTTCTCTATAATATGAATTCAAGTATCTATTTCACCTTTTCTTATTTAACTTGGAAATCCCACACAAAAGTATAATTCTATACAAACTTGATGTTCTGTTTAACCATCTATACTAGGCCATAAATATTCATGTTTCATTCATTCATCATTTACCAATGCCTACTATATACAAGTTACTGTGCTGGGCTGGTTACAAACCAATCCTATTTTCTTTGAGATTTCCCTTCAATTCTCAAAAGTCACTCTCATCTTTAAGCCATAATTATCATTTCAGACAATCTGCCATTTATCTTTTTATTCTTAGATTGACCATCCTATAAAAGGGCCACTACAGAGAGAGGAGCCAAAATGGTGGGGTGAGTAGGGCAGCGGAAATCTCCTCCCAAAACCATATATATTTTTGAAAATACAACAAATACAACTACTCCTAAAAGAGAGACCATCGGATACAGTACAACAGCCAGGACACATCTACATCTGTGAGAATTCAGCACCTCACGAAGTGGGTAAGATACAAGTCACAGCCTGGCGGGACCCAAGTGCTCTTCCCACCCCAGCTCTGGGTGGGAGGAAAGCAGTCAGAGCAGGGAGGGAGTGGAAATCCAGGATTGCTAAATAACCAGCTCCAGTAATCCGCACCGGGAGCGCAGACACACATTGCACGGTGTGCTGGATATTAGGGGAACGGAAAAGTACTATCTGAGAGTGGAAACCTGCAGCTGGCTCCTGGGACAAAAGAAAAGTGAGTGCTTTTTTTAAAGTCTTAAAGGGACAGAGGCTCACACCTGGACAGAACCGTCCTGGCACACTCAACAGAGCAGGGTGGGAATTCTGAGGAACTTGAGGTGACCCAGCCACCTGGGTGGCAACTCACCCCTGAAGCCCCTCACGGCAGTAGGCAGCCTGCCAGTTGTTCCCCCAGCCAGCAAGGCCCCGACAGAGTGGCCGAGCAGCAGGAGGGTGGGGGTGCGCACCCGCGGGGGCCGTGCACCCGGAGAGTAGCAGCGTGCACCAGCGGTGGCTTAACAGCCTGAGAGTGGACACGCGTGCAGGTGGCGGCTGAGCAGCCAGAGAGTGGTGCGCATGCCCATAGCGGCCACATGTACCTGCATAGGTGGAGCAGCTGGAGAGGGGCTGTGCACACAGCGACTGTGCCCACAGCAACCGCCCAGAATCTCCTCCCGGCGCGCAGCTGCCCGGGCCAGACCCGAGGCCACCACCAGCATGCAGCTGCCCGACATGGGCAGAGGAAACCAGGGCAAGGCACAAAGGGGTGCCGTTCTAGCAGGAGAGCACACCCAGCATGCCTGCCATGACCCCGCCCACAGCAGCTTAGGGGATTAATATGGAGGCTGCTCCAGCTGTGCAGGTAACTGACACAGGCAGCAGAGAAGGGCAAGCAGGAAAGGGCTTTGTTCTCCCAGCTGACACACATGGCAGAAGAATTTGGTCCAGTCCAGAATTACCCAGACAACCCCCAAGAGTAAGGCCTGGGGAGACAGATTTAACCAATCTTCCTGAAAAAGAATTCAAAATAAAGGTCATAACCATGCTGATGGACCTGCAGGGAAATATGCAAGAGCTAAAGGATAAAGTTGGGGGGGAGACTACAGAAATAACACAATCTCTGGAAGGACTTAAGAGCAGACTGTATGAGGAGGAAGAGGTCATTAATGGAATAGAAATCACAGAACAAGAACACAGAGAAGCTGAAGCAGAGAGAGATAAAAGGATCTCCAGGAATGAAAGAATTTTAAGAGAACTGTGTGATCAATCCAAACAGACAATATTAACATAATAGGAGTACCAAAAGAAGACGAAGAGAGAAAAAGAGATAGAAAGTATCTCTGAAGAAATAATTGCTGAACACTTCCCCAATCTGGGGGAGGAAATAGTCTCTCAGACCATGGAAGCCCACGTATCTCCCAACACAAGGGACCCAAGGAGGACAACAACAAGACATATAATATTTAAAATGACAAAGATCAAAGACAAGGAAAGAGTATTAAAGGCAGCAAGAGAAAAAAGGTCACCTACAAAGGAAAACCTATCAAGTTATCATCAGACTTCTCAACAGAAACCTTACAGGTCAGAAGAAAATGGCATGATATATTTAATGCAATGAAACAGAAGGGCCTTGAACCAAGAATACTATATCCAGCACGATTATCATTCAAATATGAAGGAGGGATTAAACAATTACCAGACAAATAAAAGTTGAGGGAATTTTCCTCCCACAAACCACCTCTACAGGATATTATAAAGGGACTGCTCTAGATAGAAGCACGACTAAGGCTAAAC